GGGGGGGGGACCAAGTCCCTTGAAGAAAAAACAAAAACTTGTCCTTATAAAGACTGAAGCTTGCTTGAAATATACGTACATAATGTGTTGTTGTTTTTGTTGTTGTTGGTTTGGGTTTTTTGGGGTTTTTTTTTTGCTTGGTATGGAACAAATAGAATTAATTCTCAACAGTCAACAACTACGTGGGTAGCCTGCACTCAGACACACATACGCACTCCCGCTTTTAAGGATTGAAAATATCCTGTGGGTTGCTTTCATGGGACACGTTTGTCTGGGGAATTCTTTTGGATCAGTGACTACCAAGTTCTGTTTGGACTAGTAAAAGGTGGGGTCCCCGTTGGGACCAGATGTTTTCGCCATGGTTCTTACTTAAATTTTGGAATCGAATTTTGGCGTTGCCTCTTCCAGTCTCCGAAATGCAAGTCTTTTGAAATAGGTAACATTTTCGATTCTGAAAACCTGCAGTGCATTTTTTGCTCCCTGCTCACAATGGGGAGTGGAAGTTGAAGAAGGACCTCGAGCAGGATAAACATTTTGCTCTTGTATATATAATTTTGCAGCTGAGTTAAAATTTATTTTTGTTTTCTTGCTTGTAACCCCTTTTTAAAACTCCCTTGTAGGTGCTTTTGGGTAGGTTTTACCCGCAAAAGTTTATCATGACAAATGACAATGTTTTATTTGGTATTGTCTGCGTCTTAATTTGTCCTGTGAAAACAAGTCGTCTGCCGTCTGTTTTAAGGTTATGAAGTTGGTCTCTGCTGATTCGGCACCAGTGGTGTAATTGTCAGGCTCTCAACAGATGTATGCAGAGGACCGGAGTTTGATTCCTCGATTCTCGTGTGGGGAAGTTGTTTTGTGGAGTTTCTCCGTTTGTCTGCTGGGATGCTGTATCCTGCTCGGCTAGGGTTGGCCCTGACCCTGACAGCCGGGGTAGAAGCAATGGGCTTTTGTCTGTTTGCTTGTTTGAGTTAAGAGTAAGTAAAGAGCATACACACATACATGGGTGGTTGGTGGGTACTGTGGTGTGGTTTGCTCCTTCTTTCCTATCAAACATCTATCATCCTGATCTCTCCCCCTTTTTTTGTTTGTTTGTTACTCTCTTGTAACACCTCTAGTCTTCGTCACTTACATGACCTGATTGTGTTGCAAATGCCGTAAAACACTTACAAAAACTGAAAGACCACATCGGCACAATAATGGTCAGTTAGTTCTAGAAAAAAGTAAGACAGACAGACAGAAACAACAGAGGGAAAGTAAAGAAGTCGGTTCTACCAGTGGCGCCCTCCAACCAATCGCAAGCAATGTGCGAGATGGTATAGGCTTAATTACCCTTGCAACGTTGTAAGGTTATTCAAGAGGCGAGACCTACGAATTTAACGTCTATCTCCGACAGCACATAGCCAAATGAAAAAAAAATCGCGTAAAGCGCCTTTCCCAAGGAAACAACGCCAGGCCACAAGCTATGCCTCGAATTCAGGAACCCGCAATCTCGTCATTACCTGAGCGAGTACGGTAGGCGCAAGGCAACCGACGCCGGTTCATTATAATTATAATTGGTCTCCTGAATCATCTAAATGGTGTCGATGGGGGTGTAAAATGTTTGCTGTCGGTCTAAGCTGAGATCTTGTCTCTTGTTCCACCATGGCATGCATGCACCAGTTCGTCGTTCTCGGAAGGTTTTGAAGTATTAATGAATTATTTCCCCGAATGGAAAAGTTTACGCTAAAGAGCATTTCCCTGGTAAAGTAAAGTAAAGTAGATCGAATTACCACACGCGGCTGGGTGGGGCATTGATGCATTGAAGAAACACTTGAGAGGTTATGTATGATTATGTATATA